ATTTTGAATATTAACCTTTAAAAACGAATAAAATTATGATGCTTTACCTGAATTATACAACTGATTCTATGAAGTGCCACTTAATTACGTCCTATAGATGAGGTGAATTCACCCTATTTCGATTAAGGTGATGAGGGGACCGGTAGTTAAATTTTCACATAATTATTTTAGTTTAGATTACGTTTTTATTAAGTTTCACATAACCCTTCTTTCCTCGAAAGTATTTCAAATATGGCGTCATAGTTAAGTGTCATGGCTCGATTCCCGCAGGGGGTGTTGATAGGATCTTGGCAAGGTTGAAATTGCAGTCCACTCTGGATAAGAATACCTTGTTTGAGAACAAGGCTACATATTATTAAATGGTAGCATAAGGCTCATTAAAATCATTGTGGGAAAATTCAATTACCAGTCCCTTTACCACCTTAGCCGCAGTAAGTTGAATATACTTCATATATATGCCCTACTGATAATCTCAAAAACTTAATTATTAACGAAAAATAAATTACATCTACGTGCGGCCTAGTGATTATAATCACTGAAAAAAACCTTCAATGCTTCTATTCAAAAGTATATAAGTTAGCAGGAAAATTTAATGTGGGATCTCTCTCATTCCCATTATGTTTTGAGCTAGTCTATAATTTAAAGTTTAATCACTTAACCCAGAGTTTACTATGGTCACTACGGCATTTTTAATATGCATTTTTATAGGCTTATTAACAAAATGGACATATATATATATATATGTATATATAAGAGTATGGCTTTATTTGCATCGGAGATCGCAATCATCCTTATTTCAACTCACAATGCCGCCCCTAATTTCCTCTATTAATCTATTAGCTTCGCAACTTTTTAAAGAAGTAGTTGAAAATGGAGTTCATTTTAGTTATATAAATAAATATTATGGGAATGAAAGAAAATGTCCTGCTATTGTGTGGAGAAGGTTACACTTTTAGTGTCCCTTTATTCCCCCTTATCACTATTTTTCCTCTAAATCGCCATTCATTAGTTGTAGCTGCAGATAAATCAGACCGAATAAGTTATATAAAAATTCTGCAGCTAACCTAACTTTATCAGACTGGTGTAGTGTGTCAGAGAGCGTTCTTTGATGATAATTATCTATGCTGGAAAATAGGCTGCTATTTCTAAATGACAATTTATTTACCGTAACATGTCAGATTTCATAAAATTAAAGCTACCCCATAGTATTCTCTGTCTTTCAAGTAGCAAATGTTTGGCTTGTGCAGTGTCGGATATGCCATGGACACCAATTCGTCATATGTTTATCCAGGTGCAATTCCTGGTTCATTACACGAAAATAAATATATTCAAGAATATATCTGTAAATTGAAACTAAATCCATTCGAGATTTATTCATCCGCAACCGCTTGTTCATAAGCATACTATTAATTTATATCTTATTGAAAATTAATGTCTTATCTACTCGATATTCTATGGCAAGTAGCTTACTCTTAACAGACCGGTACATGGAAGTTTCCTAAATGCTTAAATAATAAATGAATAGAGAGCTTTTCTCATATACTAGGCAAGTGACGAATAAATACGATATTTGAAAACGATTATGGCATATAACTACTTAAATTGATTTTTGGAATTTCGCTAAACCATGGTTAGATTTGACACGCAAGGTTTTCACCCAAACATCTTTTAGTCCAACTATATGAAGAGCTGAATTTTGGAAATTTTGGGCAGATCTATTTGGTGCTGAAGAAAAGAGAGGATGCTTAAATTGTAAAAGAAACAGAGTGGTTTACCGGAGTAGATTAAGAACCGAACAATTCTAGTCATGCATAGTAACTGCTTTGCCAAGAAATCAAGGAAGCTGTTCACATGCAAAATCTAAAGGGAACTGTCTTGGCTACTTGAAGTGTTATCATTTTATGGAACCTTAGTGGCCTGTTTTATTTAAATTTCTACTCTTCACTTCATCTGCAAAAAGCCGTATTTTATTTTTTTTAGTTTTGATATTTACGAAGATATTTCTATCTTATTCTTTCTCAAAAAGTTTTTGTTAACTTCTTATTTTATTTTTCGTATGTAAGTTGAGTTTAGAGAGTATCAGTGAATCAGTAATATGAGATGTATTCACCCTATTTCGTTTAAGGTGATTACGGACTGGTAGTAGAATTTTCCCACAATAATATGAGTAGAGCTGACGTTTCCATTGAATTTCATATAGCTTTGCTTTCCCAAAAGTTGTTCTCATCCAGGCGGGAGTGGACTGCAATTTTGACCTCGCATTAGTCTTATCAACACCCCCAGTAGGAGTCGAACCATGAAAGTGCAGAAGGTGAGCTTGACACATTAACAACTCGGTCACATTACCACGAGCGCCCTTGGGTCACAGGAAAGATGTGAATTTTAAGGAAGGCCAGGCCTTTTGTCATATCACATTCTTTGGTGGGATTTCCGATGAAACAAACGTATATTTGCTATAACAATCGACTACGTTACTTATTTTTCGTGTTTGAGTAGGGTTTCGAGACTACCAGTAAATCATTAATATAAGATTTATTCACCCTATTTCATCACCTTAAACGAAGTATCTATGTTGAGGTTATCTGTGCAAATATTATCATTCGGATTTATCCATTTGTTTTATCATCAAAAATGGCATTTTACTTCATTTGTTCATAGCTTATCAATTGCTCATGCAATGAAATTTCTTTTAAAGTGTCCTTAAGTGAGTTCATATAAGTGAACTGGGACATCCAAAACAGTATATTATATATTATATTGTATTGCTAAATTTAGTTACTAATCATAATAAGAGAGCATTAATTAAACTCTGTTCAGATTTAATTTTGAGAAGGTTTACATCCGATTTTAAGATAGTTATCTCAGAGAAAAGGGTGATAAGCTTTTTTAAAATGGTTTACTGTAGATTTTTTCCATATGGAAAACAATAAATTTAAAATAAAACTATTATGGTTTGTCTAGCATATTGAAAAACTAAATTCATCTCATTGCGGTTGGCAGGTAATGCCAAAATTGATGCTTTAATCTATATAGATATGAATCAATTGCATTACATAGCCTAATCAATTCCGGTAAATAGGTACAATTGGCTTTATTTAACACTCCTCAATTCTACTTGCTAGAGTAAAGCAATTGACTTATGTGTTATAAAGTACTTTGTAATATAAATGTGTCTGTCTAGAGAAGCTAAAGATTTTCTGTTCATTACATGATTTTCTCTTAGACCTAGTTTTATTTGAAATAAGTAGTACAATGTTAAACCTACTTCATGGAAAAGTATTAGACTAGAACTATAAAATCTCCAAACTAAGTCTGTGCTTATATGGTTTAAGGTAAAGAAATATTAACCTGACACATTTTCGCTATTTCGGCACTGACCTTTCCCGACATCAGCATGCGAATAGTTATAACCTGCTGGCCCTTATTGTTTACCGTTTGCTGACAATATTGCCCACTTTTCAGTAAAACACCAGGAGCAACTCCGGCTCCTGAGTAACAGGATCTCGACAAATCTTTCCCAGTTAACACTGGACCACCCAGCTCGGATCTCGGTTGCTCGTGGCTCATCGTATGCATAGAGGAATCAGCTAATTGCAGATGAGGAGCTTGGAAGCCTTGAGTGTGTATGTGAGCCAAAGGCGAATGCTGGATTTGTTGCACTACTTGACCATGGATGTGTAAATGCGGTTGAGGTTGGTTTGCCGGTGGACAAATGCTTCCCAGACCGGCTGTGGCAATCGCTGCCCCCCTTGGCAGTGGAGGTGGTTGTAGTGGATGGGCGATTCTACTTGAGCGTAGACGGTCGGATCTGGCGTACATCTGAAAGTGGCATCCTCCTCCGAATCGAGGGCTAAAGCTTTGCAAGTGATAGTGATATGGATTTCCATGCCCAGCTGAAGGATGTAGTATGCGGGGTTGTGGCAGTTGAAGAGTTGGTGCCAGAGATGAATTTTGAGCTGTTGATAGGAGGAAATGCAATGGCGTCAACTCATTGCGAAGTCCATAAGCGTTCACTGCCTGCCCTGTCTGATAGCAAAGTGGTAATGTTAGAGCCTGAACAAGTGGCGTAGATGGAAAGAGTGTGGCTGTACCTGGGCCGTAAATCAGCCCAGCCTGACACTGCTGCTCTGACTTGCCCTCCTCCAAAATTGCAGATTCAGCTCGGATGTCAGCGCATTTTAAAATGTCGTGGGTTGTGACATTCTCGGTTTCATCAAGCAAACCCAGACTGCCACTTCGGCTGTCGCAGCGGTCGTTGCTAAGTAATGGCAATCCGTTAAGTTCCATGCTCATCACGCTGCCATCACCCCGAGCGTCACTTGGTGAGGCGCAGTGATCTGGGTCTTCGTCGTCGGACATCATCTCTGCCTCCTCCTGTTCGGGTGTATGGAAGTGTTGATTGAACTCTGTCTTCCGTGAGCTGGTATGAAATACATCCAGATTTAGACTGTCCTTATGAAATAATAGTGAAGCACCTTGTCTGAATAATGTCGGCTCTGCTACTGACGATAGTTGTGGTGGTGTTGGCGATGCGTATGGCACAATAACTTTATCCGTCCTTATTGTTATCTGAGAAGCATCGCCGCTAAATTCACTGCACACGATTGACCCTGAAGAAAGTGGTTCCAATATAGGGAATTCTGAAGAACTATTGGAAATTGAATTCAGCTTAGAGGAGGAGGAAGTGGGTGCTAAGGGCGGAAAAGAAGATGAGGAGGTGGTGCATAAGCAAGGTGTAGCAACGGCGGAAGGAGATTCAAAACAATTAGGCAGCATTTGCACGGAGCTGGCTAGTTCTAAAGAGCCTGTAGGTCGAATAGATTTATTACATGCCTCTTTTACGGGCAAACTTTTCGAAACAAGTTTTACTTTACCCGCTAAATCATCTGAAAAAAGAAATTCTTCTTCCATGTTCTCTGCCCTGTCTTTATTTTCCTCTTCATCATCCATTATATGTTCCCCGTAATCTGAATTCTGGCAATGGGGACTCTCGGTTTTTATCACTTTTCTTTTACCACAGCTAACATCCTTTACAATATTATTGTTATTGCTGTTTTGGATCGTACTTATGCTGCTCGAAATACCGGTTGTTACATCAAATTTGGACGGGGCTGAAGCACAGACAGACGAAGAGGATGAAGAGAAGGTTGAAGTACGTGGAAGTATTGGAGACATCTGTCTGGTAGCAGCCATCATCGTGTACCCTGAGGCAAAAGCACCTTGAGGAGAGAGTTGCTCTTATGACCTCAGTGGAGACTGTCGCTCCCAACCTTCTGCATGTGCTGCAAGCAGGAAATCTCTAACTCGCAAAAGTATAGGAGTTTACTCTGGTCAGCATCCTCCGTCTTGACTCGTATACTGGACCGTGTCTGGGTGCATACTGTGGCCTTGATGCATAGTGCATTGGTCAAGAAATGGAGTCAAGACATGCGAATTTGCACAAACGAGAGAGTGAGCACAGAACTAAGTTTCAGGAAAAAGCTGATCTGTCCACTCAGTTTTGGGTTTTAAAACTGAAGGAAAGCTGAAACCCACCAGGTTATCACAGTATACACGTCTTTATGATATCAAAATGGGGGTTTATACGATTTCATAATGTCGCTAAGGTTAAAAGCGCGGACACATGCAAGCGCAAATTTGGCCAAACACATGAAGAGGCAGACATAGGTGGGGACTAAATGGGCAAAGACGAAACCAGACAATAAAGCTAGACGCACTATGGAGACGGAAGGAAGAGAGCGACATCGAGAAACTGCATGGATGAGAGAACCTGAGTCGACGATAGGAGTAACTATGCCAGAAATCTAGAGAATAAAATGAGAAAATTTTAAAATAAATACTAGTAAGTTAATAGTGCAAATAAGCTAATGCATAAGAGAATTGTTTAATCGAAAGCATGACACTATTATTTCCAAGTGCACAACATTCGTCAGCTAAACATTAAGTTCAAGCAATCAAACAAACTTCTTTCAGCCATGCCGTTTTGTACCATAAAAACTCATTGCTTCCTATACATTGGCTACGAACAACGCCATCGTCTACTGATTTCTTGTTATGCTTTTGCGTCCACTAACTGCCAACTATGCGTCAATCTTTCTGCCATTCATTCATTCAGCCAGTCAGTGCGCCGGCCAGGCCGTCAGATAGTCACTTAGTCAGTCATCGGAAGAAAATTATTCAACAAAGTTTAGTTATGTAAATAGAGATTTATAAGAGTGTCTCTGTTTGCAATAAAAAATTTACTTGCCCATCTTTGGTTTTGATATGGGTGGCATACTTATCTTCTATTCCAATGCTTAATTCAAGGTAATCTTCCATCTACATCTCCCTCCTACTCTTACCATAAACGTGCCGGAAGAGGTTACATTTGCCCTTCTATATGTTTGGTCCAATAATCCTCGGTGTATGTACTTGTGTGCTTACTTTCCTCTAATAGGCAGTCATTGCATGTATGTATATAAGTTATTATATATTATCTAATCTTGCTACTTTACTATGTTTGCTTAAATCCCCATGTCTGTCAGCATATCAGATCTTTCTGTGAGTTTTTCAACCTGCCGCTGATAGG